TTCGCTTTCAGGCTTCCTTACTTCACCCCCTCAGCACCAGAGACCCGAATCTAATTCATCCATCTTGGATGGCATGAATTTCGCATCGGTGGCCCCTGTAAATTCTTGGCTACCGGCTGCTGCCTTGGGCTCTTCTTCCAATCCCAGCTGTCAGCAGTTCGGGTTTAACAATGCTGCTTTTGCTTTGCCTTTATCTTCTGTTTCTCCATTCGGGTCGTCGTTAAATTTGAATCCGTATGACCCAAACTTCCCTGGACAGTTACCTGCCCCTTTGTTTCAGTTCAATTCCGGGAATTTGGAGCCTGGTTTGAACTACAGTTCCTTGCTGATGGGAGCTGGGATTGAGCCTGTTGATTTTGGTCCGGGGTTGAAGACGGCGCTCCCTTCATCCCAAACGCCACCGCGGCCAACAACCCCCGCTTCCTCTAGTAACGACAGTGTTTGTTTCAACAATATTGCATCTTCAAACAATGGGTGTCATGAATTTGATCCGGAAATGCCCAGCGCAAACAGCGGTTTGTTGGACGATCTCTTGCTGGAATCTCAAGCTCTGTCCAGAAAGAACGGTAGTTGTGACCAAGAAGGTCTGCCTGCAGCGAAGGCTGATAAAGGAAAAAGGATTGTGGGTGCGGAAGAGGAAGAGGAAGAGAAATATGGCAATGAACTCTGTGGAGATGACAGTGGCGGCGCTACAGCTGAAAACCAGACCACGAATGATCTTAGTTCTTCTCAATCATCAATTGGTAAGTGCATATTTTTCGTTCATCAATTTTAGTTGTGCTTGGTTAGTTTCGTTTTTCTCGGTTTATCATTCTATGGAAAAGGCACATGCCCCATCCATGTCCTGTCTAAAATATTCTAAAGTGTCTTTCCTCATCATAATTCTTAGATAGAACAATTAAATACAACTGTATAGCATAGACTTGAAAAAATTCAGTATGGCTCATTGCTACACAGGGATCAAACGGAGTGCAACTGAAGAACACTTGGAGATGGAGGAGATGAATTCCATGGACGATGACTTGTTGAGCCTACTGAACAATTTCCCTTCATCAACGCCACTGCCGGCCTGGTACACTGCTGGCGGCAGCAGCACCAGCATGTCCAATGGGTCTTCTTCTGGTGTTGCAGTTGCTGGTGGTGAAGCGGTGGCAGGAGGTGGACCTGAGCAAAATGGTTTATCAGGTCCGGAGCTTAATTGGACCTTGGGATCACGCTGCTGGCACAACATGCCCAGCATTCGCTGAATTGGAGGATCTTATAATTAAGTAGATCAAGAGGGTCAGTAATTAGCAATGGCTTGTTAGATTTGTGTGTATCATTAGGGCTTATTATTTCGGCTTTTAATTAGATCCTGCCTGCTGTTGTAGTTCTGTAAAATAATATATAGAGTTATTAATTTATTTGGATGAGGCGAATTTAAATGCATAAGTAAACCGAAAAACAAAATAGCTTTGTGTTATGTAATGTATATACAATTAATTAGCAATACAGAATGTTTATTTAGGTTTTCTTTGATAATTTCTTGATATCTTTTTGGTCCACGACAATTTTTTCATATCCCAGTCAATTCTTTTCTTCGGTCATTTCTTACTCAAGTTGTTGTGGCCTTGTTCATCAAAATTCAATTTCTACTTGTACAATCCAATGGTTTAATTTACTAATAAATAAGTGTCATTTTATAAGTTAAATTCAAGATTTAAAAGCAGATATAAACATTATACCCTTTAAATTATTCAAGGGAGGATTACTTTCAAAATATATGAAATTTGATCGGAAAATACTATAACTTTAAGTTCCAAAAAAAAAAAAAAAATCTAGTTGCTACAAAAGTAATTTCTAATGAATCCTATCTATATGCATATATTGGTGCCTTCATAAAATCTCTTACGCCAACTTCCTCTACTTTGGTTGGATGGAATAGGTATTTCATTTTATACTCAAAATATAATTATAATAAGGTAAATTAGTGAGAGAGTAAAAGGAATAAGATCATTTAGGGAAAAATTAATCTTGAAATAACCATGAACTAACTTAGAATCATCATCACCATTATAGTCATGAATCGCATATATATATATACACACACACGCATGATTTAAGGCGGAATCTGTCTATGTGTAGCCAAATTCGGAGGTGTTTGCTCCCAAATAAAGTGTTAGAGAACGAGGGAAAAAGAAGAGAAAAAGTGGTGCATATAGCTGTTAAATTGCGAAAGACATGTCGCTGATATAAGAGAGGAAACAGGATTCACGCATAACATCATCTCCTTTCCTTTATCATCCGCCCAATTCCCTTTGTATAATACTTCCAATAGATAAATGATCGATTGGATGCCACCTCCAAAGTGCATGCATGTTTCATGCTATCTCTCTATCACCCCTTTTCTTTTGTTTTTTGAGCAACCCCTATCAATCCATTCAATATAGAGGGTGAATTTTAGAAAACTGCACTAAATTGTTTTATGTAGACCATGTAACCCTTTAACATATTGAGATTCCATGAAAGAAGTCACAATTATTAATTTGAGGTTAGTGTAGTGTAAATTGTTCTTTGAAAATTTTTTTTAGAAGGTTTGTCTAAAACTTAACTTATAATTAATATTTTAAAAAATTATCAATTTAATTAAATATTCTATTTATATAAATTAATACATGTCAATTTTTGAATTAATAAAACATTTGTAACTCTTCCATTACAGA